CCTTAACGTCTCGTCCTGCAGCACATTAAATACAATTTAAGAAAATAGTTATTATGATCAGCTTGTATACAAGCAGCAATAATTGAAAGACCAGGCATATCCAGCAAAAACATATCTAACCAATAAGTAATGATAAAAACAGACAAAATCTTGGACTGGACTATACACTTAAACAGACGTAAATCAACTGAGATGAACTTGCTATTTAATCAGTTGCTAACAAGCAAGAACATATCTAACCAAAAAGTTTACAAGTAAAATTAAAAAAGAACATCTGTCTCCAATGAGTAAAGACCAACCTCCTGTGCTGTCCAACCACCCTTCGCGCGCCTTATAGGGCCAGTGGTCCTCCTGTACAGAAGACATTCATATAACAAAAATCAATGCTTATAGATCATCACAGCACAGATTAAAAATGGAGAAAAACATTCCACTAGGGATCAGCCACTATTGCAGAATCTGAAATTCAGCCAATATCCGATGGGTATAAAACATGCACCAAAACACACTGCCCTCAAGGCACAACATGATTATCACAATTCATGACTGATACTGCAATGAAAAAGTAAAGAACTTAACGGCTGTTACCGATGGGAGGGCGAGGTGGATGCAGGGCTACATATCCCTGGAGACTTGTGAATTGCACTGCCACTGCCTTCAGATACAGAGGAGCAAGAAGCAGCGGTAGATTGCTTATTCTCTTGACAACACTCCTCTGATTTCACCTCAGCCATATCCTTCAACAACCCAAAATCCTGATAAACAAACCATAAGCACATATCCTTTAAAAACAAAACAAAAACTCTCAGAACAACCCACCCTATACCAACCATCAAAAAAACCCTAAAAACCCAACTCAAATTGAAAAAATGCCAAACTTCCACAGTGGAACACAAATTCAAACAGAACCCAGATCTTAAAATCTACTATCGGATCAAAACCATCAATCCCCTCCCATAAAAATAAATATCTCACACGAAACATGGAACGCTCCACCAAAACCTATACAAAGCCCTTGGTTGCAAAGTTAATCGCAACGACTCGATCAAATCAACAAAAGGAAATTAACACAAGAATTTTGCAGAGTAAATAAAAAATTAAAAAAAAAACGGAACAGAAAAAAACAAATATAAAAAAAAATTGCGAATTTCTCCTAATAGTGAAGTACCTTATAGTTGCAGAGAAGTGGCGGGAATCGAAGTGAAAGCTCATAGAAGAGAGACCACGATTGCTTCTCTCTCTGAGCTAAGGTTTCGAAAAATCCTGGAACGTTGAAACAATGAAAAACTGAAATTTAATTTTAAAAAATAAAAATACAACTTTATTTAATTTAATACTATTTATTTAATTTAACGAATAAGGAAAATATTTATATAATGTGTACACATAATAATAATAATAATGCAACGGCGTGAATAACCGTTACGACTTGTGTGGCTTGGTTTTCAGAGCCATCAGTTAACGGAACGTTATGAGAACGAAGTTTTAAACTCAAACGGCACTTAATACGTGACGGCGATAAAGGTCGAACAAGTTTAAGGGCCCAGATTTGGGTCCTGATGAATTTGAGCCGTTGAATGAGAGGGAGTGGTGGCGATTTTAGGTCTAAGAAGTAAACGTTCTAACTACTAATTTGGAAATGAAAGATAATATTAATTATTAACTCATGTTAGGTTTATAGATTCCGATTACACAACAACGGCTAACACGAAGTATTATTAAAAAAAAAAAAATAAGATACGTTACTCAATATTCATATGATATTTTTTCTTTTCTCTATTACATTATTTATAATCTTTCTCTATTTTAGTTATGATAAAATAAAATTATCCTCTACATAATTATTTACCTATAAATAATTTAATTTAATGGATTAAAAATTACAAAAAAATAAAAAAAAATTAATTTGAAATATATTGTAAGTTTAATCTATTAAATAAAAGGTTATATTATATTAACTTAGATATAAGAAACAAGTTAGCATATTTTTTACGTACATGTGCAGGGATTCATTTATTTTAAGAATAAAAAATATTTATTATATTAATTTAAATTGACAATTATTTATATAAGCAAATTATACATTAATTTGAATTTATGTAACAAAGTATTAATGGTTTTCAAATTTTATAAAAAATATAAATTTGATATATTCATTAAAAAATTATTTTAATGGTTAGATCGCTGAAATTTAATATAAATAATGAGTTATTGAATAGTGTAACTTTAATAAAATTTAATTTTAGAGTAGATGGATTTATATTTATATCAAATTTTAACAATCTAACCATTAAATTAAAAGTTTTTAATAAATAGATTTAGTTTATAAATTGATGAATAGTCATAATATTTTATATATCGATTTGAATCTAAATAATGAAATATCAAATAATTTATAAATTTTTACAAAATTTATAACTTTAATCTATGCATTAGACTTTCAACATAAATCATGAGTTATTGAGTGGAATAAGTCTAATAATACTTAATTTTAAAATAAGTGAATCTCTCTCTCTCTCTCTCTCTCTCTCTATATATATATATATATATATATTTAAAAATCTATTTCAAATCTTATATGATCTTAATTATAATATTATACAATTGAATGATTAAATTTGTATTATACAAAAAAAAAATTATTGCAAGTGTCAATGAATCCTGACTTTCTATATAATATTTTTATATTATTAATTTATTATGAAATTTATTGATGAGACGTTCATTTTTCTTACATGCATTTATTGACATATTTATATTTGTTTATATTCATATTAAAAGAAAGGTTGTTAGGATATGTTGATAATTTTATCTTTTCTACCTAAATAAAGGGTAATAAAGGCATTCTATAATTTCGTAATTATTATATTTCACTTTTGTTAATTAATTTTGTTTAATAATTTATCCATTTAACTTTTTTATATAAGTTGGACATTTTAAATTGTTATGTTTAATAAGGTTATAATTATCTTTTTATAATTAAAATTTTCAAATAACATAAACTGTATATTCAAAAGGTGGGTTTTGGGATTGGAATAGTATACATAAGGTTCTAGATTTGAACTCTAGTGTTGTCATTATAATTCCAATGGATCAAAGAAAAATGGTAGATTTTGGGTATTATTTGAGAAAATTGAAACTCGCATGATATTATATTGTACTCTACAAATTAAGCAATTTCTACCAATCAAGTATTGAATGCATAGTCTCATACTTAATTGGGAAGTAATTGCACTATTTTCACATTCTTACATGAATAACAATGCAACATTAAGTAATTACAATTAATTGTTTATGAAAAAATTCATTTCATATGAAAACCCTTTTTCAATGTTTGGTATTCAAAAAAAAATTAGAAGCAACTAAAATATCAAGAGTGAGAAAACATTCTCATCGTTCCTCTTTTCTCTTGAACATATTATAAGACAATACTTTGATCGAGAGTATTCCACAAGAGTTTTTGATTTTTTTTGTGCAAGGTTAACACTATAAATCCCCCTTTTTTTATTTATGATTACTCTCATAAGATATTTAGTTTTCTACACTTGGAGATTCCTTTGTAGTGTCATCTTATTTATCTAATAGTCATTTTCTATCTTATTTTTTTGTGATTTTTATTTATATGATTTTTATATTGCCTCTTGTGATATTTAGGGTTTATGAGTTTGCTTACTATCTTTTAAACAATTAGAAGCAACTAAAATATCAAGAGTGAGAAAACATTCTCATCATTCCTCTTTTCTCTTGAGCATATTATAAGACAATACTTTGATCGAGAGTATTCCACAAGAGTTTTTTTAATTTTTTTTGTGCAAGGTTAACACTATAAATCCCCTTTTTTCTATTTATGATTACTCCCATAGGATACTTAGTTTTCTACATTTGGAGATGCCTTTGTAGTGTCATCTTATTTATCTAATGTTCATTTTCTATCTTATTTTTTTTGTGATTTTTATTTATATGATGTTTTTTATTGCCTCTTTTGATATTTAGGGTTTATGGATTTTCTCACTATTTTTTTAAAAGAATTTGTTGGCTTTCTAATGAGGTTAGACGATAACTTCTACTTAACTTTATCATTTGAAATATGAATATTATACTTTTATTGAGTCTATTATGATCAACGATGTCATATACAAGTCTTGACTTTGAAAATAATCTCATATACGAAGGGATCAATAGCATAGCAATATCTTAGGCTCTTTATTATTCTATATGTTTTTTTGTATATGTATACATGGTGATTTTACTTAATGGTTCATTGAAATATTTTTTTTATTTTATCTATTTGATGTCATTCTTTCTTACTATTTATCTTACTTTTGTTAAATTTTTCTTCAACATGGTTGTAATCTTATGATAATTAAAAAATATATTCATTGAAATCAAACTGAAAGTATACAACAACTCACGTATTTTGTTCAATCAACTAAGATAAACTCTCTTGGTAGGGATAACTCAATAATTAGAATGTTATAAAAGTATTAAATGGTTTTTGCTTTCTTTTTGTTGGTATTTTTGTAACACCATAATTTTTTTGCTATATATTATCAATCAATTAATTAACATCCTATTTAATTAATTTTAATTAAATAAATAATTTGATAATAATTAGGATTTGAAAGGAAAATGGGTTTATAATTTTTTTTTAATTAAGAAGGTTTTAATGATCCATATAGTTTTAAGAAGCTTTATGGATTTTTGTCCTCATGAGTCCAAGAATCACTCTTAAGAAGCCTCCTAAGTTTAAACCTAATACCTTTCTTTAATTGTATGTGTCATCTTGGAAATCTTATGACACCTTTTACCCCTATGGACAATATTCATAATAAACAATAGGACACTTAAGGATAGAGGACTCACATTCGCTTTACACACTAAAGACAAGTTCTAAAAATGACTTAACATAAATAACAAATCAACTGAAAATAAAGCAAAGTAAGTGGCTCTCCAAAGGCCATTATAAATCTCAAAAGAAACTAACAAAAAGGTTCCTAAACAAGATGAAATAAGTTCCAACAAGATAATCAAAACATAAATCCAAATGTCTCAGTGTAACATCTTATCAAAGCACATCCTAACATAACATAACATAACAAGGCCTAAGTATCATCATCAACACTAACCTCCTGATGATCATCGATTGCAAATTACATCCAACCAAACAGGACATAAGAATGCAAATAGAAAAGGGAGTGAGATACATCTCACTCATGCTCCTAATGTAAGATAAGTTTAAGCAACCACAAGAGAAAAACATAAGTAACTACATATACATATATGGATAATTCATACTAACATTATTTTATAAAGCTCATAACGATTATAATTCATCAACGCGTCATAAGACAATATCAAATGCAAGATGCACTAACTCATTTAGTTTTAAATGCATGTATCACCATTAAAAAACACATATCACCTGAAGGCTCTTAAAGTAGCCCTAGGATGATATGGTGATGGTAAACACTTGGCCAAGGTGCTTGGCACTCAATGCTTTCACCAAGGGGAAGATACTTTGGAGCAATTAGGACAATGATATTACACAAGGTACACCCCATGCACACAAAAGGGAGAACTGGGGCTCTCAATACCCACTGTCCCCAAGGTCATGAATCCCTAATATCACTAGGGTGATCTTCCCTGACAATGTATTACACACCAATACCTCGTCAAAATCACTTTTATGCATATACTGCATGCCATACACTAGACTCAAAGCAAGACTCAATATCACATCATCAATAATCACATGCTCATAATATTCATTTCATCACTTCATCCCAACTAAGCACACATGCCTAGACTTTTTTCATGACTAAGCCATCAACTTAGACTTCACAGCACATGATAATTTACATGGGACACAAGTTTCATATGTTTATAGTTTAATTATAATAATATGCCCAACATCCTCCAATAATACCTCAAGTAAAGTCATTACATGATCAATCATCACTACTAACCATTATAAATCACTAACTTAAGTAATCTCACACCATTAAACATTTTTCTCGCTTAAGAAGGCACGCCTAGCCTGTCATACCATGTGCCTAATGTCACCCTTATAAAGAGCAACCTTTGCTATCTGGAGCTCATGTGCCCAACATGGTCAGACTCACACTTGGCTTCATAGCCATAAAGAGCCCTAGGAGCCCTCACACCAACTTGGTTAACACCATACCCGCAATTAAGCCATGGAGCACAACCCATGCTTTTTGCTGCTCTCAAGCCCAACATGGTCTCGTTGGCATTGCCAAGAAAAAGAGTGTTCTTGCTCTTAGGGATCACGGTATCCAACACCATGGTTCATATTAGGGGTGTGCAAAATAACCGAACCAAACCGAACCATTTAAAACTGAACCGAACTAATCCAAAAAATAACCGATCCGAACAAGAAATATCTGAACCGAACCGGTTTTAAAAAAACTAATTAACCGAACCATTTTGTTTAAAACGGATCGGATCAAAAACGATTTTAAAAGTCCATTTTAACCAAACACCGAAACACGGAATGCAAGTTACGCAATCCAAATCTCCTACCCAGCCCTGAGTCCACGACTCCACCACGCAATTCTGAAGGGCAAAAATTAGCTAAATCCCTAATTCCCAAAAGGGGTTTGTTATGCGTTCCCTCTATCTGTTTGCCTCATTGTTAAAATCCAGGGGTTTCTTGTCATACTCATACATTATACATATTAGTATATATCTTTGTTTTGCATGCATTTTTGTTGGTGCAGGGTGTGGGTATCATCATATCGAGGGAAAAAATCTGGGTAGTTTTTAAGTGTCCAGTGTACACTGTTGCTGTGCCATGCACTAAGGCATGTTGGCATTTTTTGGTTCCTTGGAAATATATTTTTGTAGTTTTTTATTTGTGGAGCTAATTAGGTTTAGAGCCAACATCCACTGACAAATTAGCCTGTTCTGTAGTACATCAAACAAATGTATTTTGAGTTCTGTAGTTTTCATTTTTCTTTATGTTATCAGCAATATTACTGCCAGATTAGTGCATATTCATTCTGTTTGTGCATCTCCACAATATGTCTGTTTTGCCTTCTAAGTATTCAAATTTCATACTTATTATAGGATTCAATCTGAAGGACACGGTCGAGAGGCCTGTAGGTTTCTCCATGCAGCTGGGCCTTCAAAGGTTTGCTTTTATTGTTGTATGTTGAAAAACACCTTTTTTTGGGGATCCTGAAGCCTCTTGGTCTAAAATTTCTCCTTTCAACATAGGCTTGTTGTACTGGTCATGACTTTTCCCTTCTGATCTGTGTTTGAAAACACCTTCTTTTTTAATTTGTTTTTTATAGTCAAGGGCATCTGTTTTGACCAACTAGTCACAAACGTCTTATACTTTCTCCAAGTTATGCAAATTGATTTCTCATTTAAGTTTTAAACCATGGGCTCAAATGTTTTGACTCCAATATTAAAGAAAAGATTCACTAATTGAATCTGTTGGAAAATGTCTCCTATTTAAGCAGAACATTTCCTATTCAGTGGCTGCATATTGGGTGTTTGTTTATTTATTTTTTAAATAATCAGGGTTTAACTTGTATTGTTTTCCTAGTTTCTTTATTTTCCTGCTTTTCTAATATTAGAGATTGTAAATCATGTGTATGTAATTAATAGTGCTGAGGATTTCCCAAAGCAATTCAGAAATCCTTTGATCTGTCTCAAGTAGATAATCTCAGTTTTGCTATAATAATTTGAATGCGGGCCTGCGTTATATTCTATGGAAATCCCTGATATGTGGTATACAAAAAAAAGAATTGAAACTACCATTATATTCTTGAGAGTGGATGTCCAAATTGGTCCTCAAAAGATATATGTCATGTCACATTAGTCATCCATTTCTAAAGATTGGTCCTTCAAAGATATGTGCAACAAAAAATTGGAATAGTATATCCTAAAGTCGCATGCTTCTAGTTCTAGTGTTCAAACAACTTGTATTAAACTCACACAAAAGCTTGAATTTAAATTACTAAATTACTCATGTGAATTTTATGCTTGCATCGCTGTATATATTTAATTTTTCTTTTCTTAGTGTTCTTTTTTTATTCCAAGAAAATGTCCAAGTCTGATGTCACAACTCACAATGACTCTTTCTTTGATGATTTTCCAAAGTGTAGTTTAGGGTCTGTTACTCTCAAACATTTAGCTGATGTATATATGCTCTTCAGGTCATAATTACTAGTATAAATATAGATGGGAATCTTCTCCTGATTGGAAGTCATCAAAAAGTAAAGGTGAATTATAATACATTTGTTGATTTAAATATTTTTATATACACACACACATTGTCCTATTGTAGTAATAGTAGTAGTAATAAAAAATTGGACCATGAAAAATTGTTTTGTTTAATTATACATTTAGTGGTTAATTCTATACTTTTCTATGTTCATCTTTTTAAATAATTCAGGAATGTTTATGTTACTGTATTAAGATTTAAAGGTCTTAAAAAATCTGAATGCACCTTTTCTATCTCGTCCTGCTATTTAAGCTCAAGTCCTTACTAAAATTCTTTACTACTACTTTATTTTTCTACATGCTTTGATTCTTGAAAACTGGGTATAATTAAGACAGATGTTCATCAATTTCATGAGCATGTGGATTACTTTTCTATTGTAAAAGTTATGTTTTATTCAATTTCATTTGTAATACCTTTCTATGATCTCAATTAATTAACATCCTATTTTTCTTTTCTATTGTAGAACAACTACATGGCTGAGCTAAATGAAACTTTTGTTTCTGACACTATAGAACATTTAGCTGAACAAATGTTACCACCTCGCGATTCTGAAGGGCGTAAGAATCGATCTGATGTATGGAATCACTTTATTGAGGAGCCAAAGCCCAACATAGATAAGAGAGCTAAATGTAACCATTGTGGTACATTGATTAGGTTTGAGAATGGAACAAGTGCTATGCGAAATCATTTACGTAGATGCAAGGGTATATCAAATAAAATGTTGAGCAAGAAGCAAAAATCATACTCATCTGGAACCATGGTTTCTTCCCCTTCATTGGCTAGGCCCAAAATTGACCAACAAGCATTGAGAATTGCAATTGTCAAAATGTTTGTGGCAATGAAGCTCCTATTTCGATGTATCGAGCATGAAGCTTTTCGTGAGTTTTTAAGCATTATAGCACCCTCTCTTAATGTCATGTCACGTACTACCCTAGCACGTGATATTTATAAACTTTGGGATAGTGAAAGAGAAATGTTGAAGGAATTTATTTCTCAAAACTGTCAAAGGGTTTGCCTCACCACAGACACATGGACTTCATCTCAAAATTTGAGTTATATGTGCTTGACTGCTCATTTCATTGACAACAATTGGAAGCTGCAAAAGAAGGTGTTAAACTTTTGTCAAGTCACTAGTCACACAGGAAAGACCATGGCTAAAAAGGTTGAACATTGCTTGAGTAAATGGGGGTTGAATCGTGTTCTTACTTTAACAGTTGATAAAGCCTCGTCAAATGATGTTGGAATTCAATATCTAAAAAAAAGGTTAATGTCTTGGAATAGTTTGGTTATGAAGGGAGATTATATTCACATGCGTTGTTGTGCCCATATTTTGAATTTGATTGTGAAAGAAGGTTTCAAGGATAACATTGATGCTATTTTGAGAATTTGGGGTGCTGTAAAATATGTACAATCTTCCCCTTCTAGGTTGTATAAATTTAAGACATGTGTTGAGAAACAAAATATTGAATACAAAGGCCTTGTTTGCTTGGATGTGGAAACCAGATGGAATTCTACCTACTTAATGTTAGAGGCTGCATTGAAACTTCACAAGGCTTTTGAAGAGCTTGAGATGCAAGATAAGAAGTATATCGAAGAGTTAGAAAAGGTAAAGGGTGTTCCTTCATATGCTGATTGGGAATTTGTGCGTGCAATCCTACCATTTCTAAAATTGTTTTATGATGCTACTTTGCGCATGTCTGGCTCAGTTTATGTAACTAGCAATATATACATGTTTGAGGTCTTTGGAATTGGAAAGAAGATCAGCCAAATGTGCAATTCTAGGGATATAAATGTATGCATTATGGCAGAAAATATGAAGAAGAAATATGATAAGTATTGGGGCAATGTTGATCGTCTAAATATGTTTTTACTTATTGCTCTTGTGTTGCATCCAGGATACAAATTACAGTTCATGCATTGGTTGATTAATCAAAATTTTGATGGTGAGGTGGCATCTAGTTTAAAAGAAAAAGTGGAGTCTAGTTTGAAATTACTTTTTCAAGAGTATAATGGTGGGAGAGATGAAATAGAAGTTAACTCACAAGAAGCTCGTTTCAATGAAGGAGGTAGTGATGACCCTTATGGTTATAACCATTTTTTTCAAAGAACTAGCTCTAATAAATCTGAATTAAGCAAATACTTGGAGGAAGCCTTAGAAGAGAGTTACGTAGATTTGGATATTTTGAATTGGTGGAAGCTCAACTCGGGTAGATTTCCAATTCTTTCAAAAATGGCTAGAGATTTGCTTGCTATACCTGTTTCTACAGTGGCCTCTGAATCTGCCTTTAGTACTGGAGGAAGAGTTCTTGATCCATATCGTAGTTCTCTTACACCTAGAATGGTAGAAGCACTTATTTGCACACAAGATTGGCTTAAAAGAACACAACTACCATTGTTTTCAAATGAAAATGGGGATTTTGAAGAGTTGGAGAAATTTGAACAAAGTAATAAGCTAGATCTATTTTATACTGCATTATTGTATTATATAATTATTATAATTTGATCAATAATTGATAACCTTTTTTTTATTTTGCAGCAATTGTTTCCCCACCAGACATTGCTTATTCAGCCTCCTCTGTTACACTTGGAGATGATTGAAGATAGATTATTTATAGAGTTTGGGTAAAACCCAATCCAACTCAATTAAATCCATTGTTCCTTGAATGAAACCGAACCCAATCCAAAAAAACTGTTAACACCCCGTGATTTTTGAGCCTGTGTGGTACTTTCCTGTTGTGTTGTTCACGTTTGAAAACTGAATATTCCTGTCTGCTTATTTGCCTTGTTAACATTATTAGGAATATTAGTAGTGATTTCTATTTACCAATATATGACTACGGTTTAATTCACTGGTTAATATTAGTAGTGTTTAAGTATTTAATGTGGTATGTTGATTCGGAAAAAAAATACTGTTTGGTTTCACTTGTTACAATATTATTTTTTGTTGGTTTATGTAGGTGCCTTCTACTATGGGACCTGTAATCGTGATCTATTGGATGAAAAGGGAGCTATTTGAGTTGTGGGAAGGAAACACGCCAAATCTCAATGATAAGGATCGCGAAATAGAAGTTTAGTCTAGTATGCATGAAAAATACCGTAGATTTTCTTGCAAAAGGTTTTCTTGGAAAATACTGTTTACCCTTTTGATGTACTTGTGTGATATGCATGGTGCAGGTTGAGAGATTTGCTTGCCTTTATACTAGCCAAGTATCTAACTTGGCCTTGTACTCACCAGACAAGTATTACAGGCCCAGTGAAGATTTCATGCAGCATGAATTTGGCATTTTGGCTTGTGAGACGCCAGACATTTAAGTTGAGAAATTTAGTTGTAGTTTGGGTTTGGAAAGTGAATTTTGTTCTGTCCCGTGTTCAATGTTCCTGGTTTTCATCTCCCTTATCTGTTTTATTGGACTTAGCTCGGTTTAGAAATTCAAACTGCTCTATTATTTTGACCCCTTCCAAAAGCTCTATATGGTTTTTTAAACGTCTGCTACAAAGTGTAAATACTTATATACCTTATTATTTTAACATTTGCTACAGTGATTAAAAATTAAACAATATACTACTGTAGATGTTAACGTTGTATTAGCAGAACCCTCAAAATATTTGATAAAATCTTATATGGTGAGTTGTAATTCTTAAAATCTGGTTCAAAAAATTGGTTAAAAAAATCTGGTTCAAAAATCTATTTTAAAAAACTGGTTTCAAAAATATGGTTTCAAAAAACCGGTTTCAAACCGGTTTTAAACCGGTTTTTACCCGATCCATTTTGGAAATGGATTAATCCATAAATCTGGATCGAAATTGGTTCGAAACTGATCCATTAATTAGGTTCGGTTCAAAATCGGATCAGTAAACCGGATCGGATCGGAATCTACTAAACCGATCCATTTAAAAGCGGATCGGATCGGTTTGGATTGGTTTTTTAAAAAAACCGATCCATGCCCACCCCTAGTTCATATGCCTAGCATGATACCAGTTTCGTACAACCTACAAAAATTACAAAATTACACCTTCCTCCCTTTCTCACTTTTAACCCATTTTAGTTACTTGTGATAAAGAATAGAGGTAGAATGCTTTTAGTTACTTGGAATATTTTGTTAAAGAGTTGGTTACAATACAACTTTATATATGTAACCTTTTCCCTCCATGGTCAACACCCATGAAAAATAATTTAATCATAATTTTCAATTTTTTCATATTCAATTTTGCAATTCTATTAAAACAAAACTTAAATACCCAAGGTTGTTCATTATTTCACAATTTTATAATAATTTTAGTCTTGAAATAATTAATATATGAGTTTTAATGGAAATCATTTGTTTTGTTTAAAACTAAAATTTATTTATTTTATAAGTAAATCAATTAGGAAATTGTGTTAAAATTGAAATTTGTTGTGTTCTAATGACATCTTTGTAATGAGTTTATGTGTTGTGCATGTGTGTTTATTTTGAAACACATTGAAAAGTTTATGGTCATTTTGTTACAAGCATATACAAGCAACAAGAATCAATGTTGCACACGTGCCTATAGGCAATAGTTTCCATAAATTTTTACAAAAGCTTTGGGACAAAAATAATTTCATTATTTGCTTCCAAGTTGGGAACTCATGCTCTTCATTCTCCAACCTTAAAGGGAGTAAAATGAATAAGATTTATGATTTTATGTTTTTAATTATAAAGATAGTCTTATGATGAAGATAGATTTAGAATGCTTTCACAACACTATATGATGGAATCATGCCTAGGAAGGCAAGGGATGACACATTGAAGGAGCTAAGAGGAATGGGCTAGACATGAAGGATTGGGCCAGTCAAGGCCCAATGGGCCCGATGGGCTTGGAAGGCCCAAGTTGAGTTTCTCATGGGCCATATATTGTTTTAGCTATTTTCCTTATATCTTGTATATATCATGTTAGCATAAGTTTCCTATATTTTGGGTCTTGTATTTTGACCATTTAGGATAGCATTTTAGGCTATAGGCTTATTGGGCCTAGTTTTGGGCTTCATGGGCCTTTGAGCTTTTGGTACCCAATATTGGGCTCATTTTCATTCTTGTATTTTTTTTTATTTCCACTGTATTTGTTTGGCCATTGTATTTAGGCTATTAGAATAGGAAAATACAAGGAATACTTAAGTGGACGGATTAGGTTAAATTAGGTTTAATTTGGAAGCCATTTAAGTTGCATTTGAGTCACATGTTCCTTACCACTAGTGGCTGAACATGTGTTTGCTCAAATCAACCCTAAATGCTATCTAAATTAAATCTAAATGCATAGGCTCACTTAAACTCACGGCCAAGCACATGTGGATTTAAACTTGAATTCAAATTTCAATTTGAATTCAAATTTTAGGCGCCAACATGTGTAGCTTTGTTTAGGCGCCAATGCTTCTCAAATTCTGTGGCTACTTAAGTGAATTCCTTTTCATTGTAATGGCACTTTTGAATGAATGAGAATTCTGATTTTTACTTCAGCCAAATTCTCTCCAAGAGTCACCGAAACCTCACCCACTCTAGTTCTAGGAAAACCTCCATTCCTAAACTGGAAAGTGAGCTTTCCTTTGGATCTTTAGCTTGGATTCTTCCATCCTTAGCTTAGGGATTCTTCTACCATTCCAATCATCTTCTTACATCATTTGAACCGTGGCAAGCTTAAGGAAAAGGTCTTCACATTCGGAGAAGGTCAAAAGGAGCAAGACTACTTCACTTGCTTCCACCTACTCCATCACTATATACGTAACCTTTCCCCTCCATGGTCGACACCTCGTGGAAAACATTTCAATCATAATTCACATTTTTTTTGTATTTAATTCCACAATTCTATTAGAATAAAAACTTAAATACCCAAAGTTGTTCATTATGCCATAATTTTATATTCATTTTTACAATTATATGTCATGATCTTCGTGACTTGTAGGCCAAGCACCCATTTCATGTTCTTTCTCTTCCACTCCATTTTGTAGTTAATTTGTATGGGTTCTTTGCTTTTTTCATTCTTCTTCGCTGCCACCATTCTTCGTCTTCATTCCCCCGTCATTGTTGTTGTGGGGTAACTTTTTGAGTTTTAATTTTTTTTCGGATTTAATCATTCATTTCAGATTGGGTAATCGAGAATGTGTAATACTAATACAGAATGCTTCAATCCAAAAAGAAATTACTTATTACAGATTGTTTATTTTGAAACAAGTTAGGCACATGTTTCTAATCATTCTAGAGCTTTTTTCTGGAATACATTTTGTGCACCCAACCTATTCTTAAATAGACATTTCAGAATGGTTAAGTATTGTATTCCAAACACACATTATAGAATGGGATAATATGTTCCAGAACATCCATTCAAAAATGGTCTAATGTGTTTCAAAACACCTATTCCAAAATGAAAATGTGTTCCAAATTTTGCAATATGGAATATGTACAATGAGTGTTCTAAAGCATGTGAAGGATATTTTAGGTATTTTGATTAAATAATGGGTGCATATTGGAATATAACGAGTGAAGAAGAAATCACCCAAAAGCCAATGAAAAGCTCATGTCATCTAGCTTGGATCAAACAAAACAGTATTCAAATAAAGTAGGCTTTTTTAAAATACACCCCTATTGATTAATGAAATACCTCATTTACTCTTTTTTCATTATCTAAATACTCTTAAATTTTATTTCTAAATTATATTTTTCAAAAATCACTCTTTACAATTTTCCCTTCCTTCAACACTCATTTTCTTTTTCCAATGCTCACCCTTTTCCACTTTATGCACTCATTCTTTTTTCCTTAACCACAATTTTTTTCTTCTCATCACAAAATCGTTCTTAAAATCACTTTTCAAAATAACTTAAATAACTTTCCAAAACAAAAGTACTTTTCAAAAGTATGTTTTAAAACAAACTCTTGAAAAGTACTTTCCAGAATGTTATTTCATAAAATAATTTTTGAAAGTATATTTTAAAACATACAGTTGGAAAGTGTTTTCTAGAATAGGATAAATAGTTTTTCAAAAAGTACTTTATGAAAAATTGTTTTAAAACATACTTCTAAAAGTATTTTCTTGAATAATATATGTAACACCCCATTTTTCATAAAATATACTATAAGTATTTTATTAATAATTTTGATATTATAATTTTATTAATAAGAATTGTTAAATATTTAATTAATTATTTAATATATTTGAAATATAGTATAATATGTTTTTAATTAAAGGTTTTATTTTAATATTTATGTAATTATTTGAGGGGAAAGGAATTAGTAACTGTGGTTAAATATTTTAACTATGACATTAAAAGGGGGTTGAGTTTTTAAAAGAACATTTTGTCCTGATCAATTTTATGCTCTTCTATTTTTCACGCATGTGCTTATGCTTCAGAATTCGAAGAACCTTAAGGAAGGAGAAAGGAACCATCCCAAAGTGTTGCATCCATTGTCTAGTTCTTATCTAGGTAAGGAGGAGTGAGAAATCTCACTGTGGGTGTGAATTTGTATGTTGGGTAATGAGATTTTCCTCCAATCTTGTGTATGTTATATGTCTATGTATGAGGGGTTTTGCCAAATGCGTCTATTTTGCCTATTGTTCTTTTTACACATAACTAATGAAAGTTTTGTAAAATTATTAGTTGTGTATGCAAATTGAGTAATATGGAATGTTAATTGTATGTTATAGAACATGATTACCGATTGGATTGTCAATTTTGGTGATTTGGTGTATAGCTCTTAAATTGCATTGTATGTTATGCATGTTGTTTTTGATACATTGTTGGGTGCCACTTGGGGTGTGTTGGGCATCATCAAGGTTAAGAGCAAAGTTTTCTCTCAGGATCTCTCACGCCAAGTGTGGGATGACACTCATCAAGCATAAAATCTCTAAGGGTTTCTTGTGACGCTTTTGTCGGACGTGAGTTGACTCACATTGGACATGGATACTCTAGAGAGCTCTCAGTGGTTTTCTCGTTGGGCATGGGCTCGATCACGCTAGGCATAGTCCAAATAGAGGTTAATGTGGTCCTTTGGAGGTATCACGCCAGACATAGGGCATATGCCATTGGGCATCATCCTAACTATGAATTCCCTGTTGTGCCTCTATTAAACTCCTTGTTATGATTTTGCCTTATGATGTTGCTGTGGATATCAATTGACATTGATATATGAATATATGAATATGAACGATGAGTAGCGCGATATAAAGAATATGTTAAATGTGAAATTATGAAGCCATGTGAATGTAATGCATTGAGTCTGTTTGACATGTATCATATGTATAAAAGCATTTTTTCAAGAGTACGATATGAAATACATCGTTAGGAAAGATCCCTTGTGTAACAACTTGGGAACCAACCTTGAGGATAACTCAATTTGGAAGTTCCAGTCTTGCCCTCGTGAGCATGAGATGTATCTTGCGCAACTTAACTATCCCGACTAGACCCTAATAGTTTTTAAAATAAAATTTATTATAAAAAAAATAAGTTAAAAGGGTATTTAGAAATTATTTTGTAAAAAAAGTGTGAAAGGGGAGGTGTTTTATTAAAATTGAGAGGTGTATATATAATTTGTCATAAATGATTACCCTAATTGTATTAAATTTTTACTAGGGGTGTAAACAAATCCAATCAAGTTTGATTGTATTTATGATTTTACCTAATTAAACACAATCGGGTTAGATTGGATTGACTTTGCTATTTTTTGTCAAATGACCCAACTCGACTTCAATCAAGTTAGGTTAAGTTAGAAAATCAGGTTAGTTAATTAAAATATTAATAATTTCTTTTTTTAAAATTAAATGTTTTAGAAAAATTAAATAAATAATTTTTCAAGTTTTAACCATGTCTCAAACAACACTAAAAATTACAAATGACATAATACCAAAAGACTCAAAACAAAGCTAATAAAAAAAATACATTAATGAATCAGACAACACTAGTAATTATTTGAATTACATAATACAGTTTTCTACGTTAGTTAAAAAAACACTAACAAAGTGTTTAGTTGGAAGGGAGGGAAGGAGTTTTTATAAACTTTTCTTGTATGGTTTCATTTTAAGAAGGAAAAGAGAATGAAGAAGAGCAAAACCTATCCTCATCCAATTTTAGCCACCCTCTAATATTTGGGGAGATTTGGAAGGGAGGAGGAATTTTAAAACATTTTTAGTATATTATCTAAAATATCTTTACTTGTATTTTTAAATTCAAAATTATAAGGGTACAAAGCTAAATTAGCTTTTAAAATCTCTCTACTCCTCTTGTGAACAAAACAAAGTGCTACCTTCCTTCCCTTTCTTCCAAAATAGAATTTCAAATCCCTCCATTCCCTTGTTTTCTCATCTCTCTTATTAAAATCTTTCCTCTTTCCTCCTTTAAATCAAACATACCACAACTAATTCATCACATGATTGATAACTTATTATTATTATTATATCGAGTTGATCGAAGTTATAACCTCATTTGTCAATTATTCAACATATTGTAATTTTGTCAACAAAAAAATATTCAACCAAACTTAACAAATATAATTGAATTGGGTCAAGTTCATAGGTTGATCTTAACCCAATTACACTTTATTTTCAACATATAATACAATTAAAGAACATAAAAAATAAATAAAAATTTATCTTAATTGTTTCTAATTTTTATTGCCTTAATTATTTTGAATATCATTCAAGAAGTTATAAACATGATAATTAGAAAGAAAAAGATGGAGATTAGGGTGGACAACCGTGATAAGTGATCTATGATGGGTCATGATTTTTATCATTAGATTAATCTTCCCTTGATTAATTTTATTTGCATAAATCACACTAAAATATTTCTTTCTTCTACCCCAACTTTGTTCCAAGAAACACTTGCCCTCCTCAAAACGTAATGACAATGGTTGTGCTAGAGCGAATTTGATGCACATTTTGACAATGTTTTGGACCAGACATGAGCTCCAATGTCTAGTCATTAATGAACTTACCAACCATTGTGGTTGTTGCTGTTATAATTACGATTTTGGATTTTTCCTTCTTCCATTCTCTTATTACCTTCAATTTCAGTGCAACGATGAAGGGTTTTGTTGATGAAATCCTAACCATGACACATAGGTTATTGAGACACCATGAAGACAACAATTGGAAACACTTTGATTTCTCTTGGATATGTAATAACCCCTATGTTCTAATGGTTTGTTTCGAACTTTTTTTAATGGTTAAATTTTTTATTATATTGATTTTTTTTTTTTGTAAGATTGAATGGGTCATGGTTAGAATTTTTATTATAATGATCATGTTTTTGCTTTTTTGAGATTTACAAAAAACACAATGACCACCTTTTTAATTTTGGGACTAGTTTTATTTGAAAATTTGGGTGTACATGAAAGATCACTGGATGGGATGCGAAGACAACAAAGAAAGTAGAAAATATCATTCAAATCAAGTTGGATGCACTCCACTAGCCTTAACACTTGCCAATAAGGTCTATTTTTATTTGTTGTGAAACTGGTTTTATAAGAAAATTGTATAACAAAGTGAAAGGAGCTTGAATGCACATAAAGACGCTAAACAAAGGAAAAAGGATGAACATTGTTTGAAAATCAATAAGGGACAACCAAGTTTGGGACGAGATTACCATGAAAGAGTCAAGGGAGAAACGATTTGATGCGTAAGATGTATATATAACTTATACATGTGGGATTAATCTACCAGTTGAAAATATGTTCCACCTTGGACTACCTATCAAGTTAATCCACCTATCTTTCATTGAAAAAAATATTATACTCCTTTTGGACCATTTTTTTTTTTTTTATGTTTTAAGTTTTCCATTTCATTCCAAAAAAAAATTGTGGTTTACAAATTCTGAGTAATATTAATTAGTTTTTTTTTCACATATATCCCTATTTGACAATTACTATTTTTGCTATATAGTTATCCTTAATTCACACATTTAAAGTTATTAAATGAGGATATTTTAGACTTAACATACTAAAATTAAATATTTCTTAAGGAGTGGACAAAAACCTAAATCATAAAAAAAAAAAATTATGGTCTAAAAGATTATAATTTAACTTTCAAAGGAAAGTAATTATTATGGGAGAGACATGTAGCAAGTGATTTGTTTGCTTCTAAAAATAATTGCTTTTGAATTATGACTTATAATGTAATTAAATAACATGTCAATAAAACAATTGACTTGATTCGTAAATATCATTTGAGAGATTATAAAAACATCATGCAAAATAATTTGTTAAGGAAAAAATGATATTAACACACTTTTTATGAGAAGAATTTAGGTGACTTTTTTTTCTTCATGAATATGATCTATATAGTGTTTCAAAGCTGATAACTAAAAATTATTCTACACTCGTAAGATATGACTTCTACTGGCCAAATATATTTTAACCCAAAAAAAAATCGAACTTGAGAGCACTAGAAACTTTGGTGATTTTACTAATAATAAATGAGAATTATTAAATAAAAATAAAAGTTATATTATTTAATGAAATCACATAAAATTTATCTAAAAAAAATGCAATAATAAATAAGAAAAGCATATATTAAAAGATATAATAATATGCTAATAATTATTACACTATTGAAAATGGTTGTAAAGTAGAAAAAATAATACCCCACAATCACACTACTCTTTAAGTCTCCTTGTTTCTATTAGTTAAGATTTGGGATCAAATCTGACTTCTTTCGTATTTTATATTCTTTTATGCAAACTTACATTAAAGTTGAAATAAACAATTTGTAATCTCACTAAAAATATTTTAAAAAATTAGTATTTAATTATGATTTTATATGAGATTATGTCTTATCATAATTTAAAATATTTCTAAAAAAACATAAAAAATGTTAACTAGATTTGATTTCTATCCTAAAAATAAAATTATAACCAAAAATACTATACTACTATTAACACTTTAATTTTTAAAAAGAGTCTACTTAATAAAAAGAAATTATACCTCCTAATTATTAAAAATATTTATTAAAAAAATATCATTCAACATCGTGAATATAATGAATACTATTATTACCTTCTTAAATTTATATTACCAATTCTTTACCTATTAAATATTTTAACCTTAAATTGAGAGATTGTGGATCCCACTAAAGGGAGCATAACACAGTCAAATTCAAATGAAAAGTGCCTCCAAATTCCCTCTGCAAACCCAACGGTCAGGTGTTTTCAAAAACCTTCCCCTCTCTGTCTAATCATCTCATTTCTCAAACTTGGTTTTCACCCCACATTGACAATTCTCATCAAATTCTGAACCTTTTCTACCTACAATGGCTGCTACACCAAAACCCTTGAAATCTTGCACCCCCATTTCAGTTTCCAAGGTGAGGGTCATCGTCAGGGTCAGGCCCTTCCTCGCACACGAAACCTCATCAAGAAACGGCGACCCCATTTCGTGCAGCTCCGTCCTCGACCAAGATTTCGAGTCTCCGCAGGACGAGGTTGCCGTTTATCTCAAAGACCCACTAACCAGGTCTCATAAAGTTCCCACCTTTGGGCTTTTCTCTTGATGAATTTTGGTTTTCACCATGTGGGGTTCTCACTGTTTCTGTTTTTTTCCGTTTTGCCTTAGCCGGAATGAATGCTACCAGTTGGACTCGTTCTTTGGGCAAGAAGATAACAACGTGGGTCAGATATTCTGCAGAGAAGTTAGTCCCTTTGTTCCGGGGATCTTCAGTGGATGCAATGCCACTGTGTTTGCTTATGGGGCTACTGGAAGTGGGAAGACATATACTATGCAGGTGTGAGTGTGATCTTTCAGGAAACTTGTTCTTCAATTTGTTGTAGTCAGGGTTTTAAATTGTGGTTGGCTGGGGGTTGGGGCTATTGCAAGCCAATTCCTGCATATGTGATTTGCAATGTCCATGTCCTAACCTGGTTGCAGTAATTTTCTTTTTTTCATACATCTTTTTTTGTGTACAATGGTCGCACCAGGTTCGAACCTAACACCTCATGCATACTATCTCAATCTCATTACAAAGTCAACTCCGTTGGTTCACATCTTTTTACCTTGATACGTGAATTAGTTTGTTTTTTTCAGTAAATTCTGAATTTTGAGTTACGACGATGAGGATTTAGGATTAGTATCATGTGGTTTTGCAATGTCATAGATCCTGGTTATATTTTTCCGAACATTATTCCAGATATATGAATTGGTTTTAAATTTGAGCAAAATCTAAATTTTTAGTTAAGAGAACGAGGATTTTGGATTAGGGTCATGAGGTTTAATGATAACATAGGTCCGTTCTGGTTATCTGAACATTAATCTAGCAAGTTAGGATTATGGGATTGGTTTTAAATTTTGGTTGCGTGTGTTGTTTTGGAGATCTTAAAAACTACAAGGTTGCAGCTGAAATTGTGGTTGGGAGCGAAGTTTAAAACCATGATCGTTTATGGGTTTTCTACAAGGATTTAAAAAAGTGTATCCTCTCTTAGATTCTTTAAATTGGTGTTACCTATTTGTGAATTTGAATGCATAGCCTGTTTGGTTTTGTGCCACGTAAGACAACATGCATGTCTGATTTGCACGTCCTACGTATAAGCTATAGTTCATTAGGTTCTGATTTTCATGTTTTTGATCCACGTTTGGAGCTTTTGACATAGAAACAAACACACATTCATAATAGTTAACGGGATGAGGAATAGCACCATTTTTTTATGTTTAATAGCATGGGTCATGGTTATATTTTTCTGAATACTAATTGAGCAGGAGGATATAGAAAATTTATCCACTCTTGGATACACTTTGTTGTGTTGAGTACTTGAAATGAACCGATGCTTGGTGTTGCAGGGAACCGATGAACAACCTGGCTTGATGCCACTGGCAATGTCCATGATCCTTTCTATTTGCCGAAGCACTGGCAGCACAGCACATATTTCATACTATGAAGTCTACATGGACCGATGCTACGACCTCTTGGAGGTCAAGGCAAAGGAGATTTCAATCTGGGATGACAAAGATGGGCAAATTCACCTCAGGGGACTATCTCAGGTTCCTATAAACACAATGTCTGAATTTCAAGATGTTTTCTCTTGTGGAGTTCAGAGGCGCAAAGTTGCACATACAGGCATCAATGATGTCTCTAGTAGGAGTCATGGAGTGCTTGTAATATCTGTGTCCACTCCTTCAGCTGATGGCACTGGAACTGTTGTGTGTGGAAAGTTGAATCTCATAGACTTGGCAGGTTACATCCATATACTCAATTGGGGTAATGGATTAGGAGCACTTGTGGTTATATGCTCATGTGTTTAAGATTGAATCAGGTAATGAAGACAACAGAAGGACCTGCAATGAAGGGATTCGTCTTCAAGAGAGTGCCAAGATAAACCAGTCCTTGTTTGCGCTGTCAAATGTGATATATGCATTGAACAACAATAAACCAAGAGTGCCGTACAGAGAAAGCAAATTGACCCGTATATTGCAGGACTCTCTAGGTGGAACAAGTCGTGCACTGATGGTTGCTTGCCTGGTAAAGCTAGAGATTTTATGGTTCTTTTCTTCTCAATTTCTGTTAGTCCACTAGATTTTCAGATACATAACAACAAAGAGCTTGGGTAAGAGATTTGTTAGTTGAAGATTCCTTGTTCGACCACTGGAGTGACCAAGAGATTTTCTTATTAGTTTACTAGTTTACTTCACTTGTTATCTATATTAGATTCAAAATTTTATTGTAGTCCTTTTCTATTTATATTTCAGAACCCAGGAGAATACCAGGAATCTGTTCATACTGTTAGTTTAGCTGCTAGATCAAGGCATGTTTCTAATTTTGTACCTTCAGCTCAAAAACAAGAGACCCCAAAAGTTAGAGTTGACATGGAAGCAAAATTGAGAGCTTGGCTAGAATCAAAAGGCAAAACAAAGAGTGCACAAAGACTTGGGTCATTTAATTCCCCACTTGTGAAAAAAACTCCCAGTTGCATAGTTACCCCTGCCAAGAGATCTATTACCTTCAACAGTTCAGTGAAGAGGGGAAGAAATGCCAACAATCTAGATGTTCAACATACTAATGGAAGGTGACTAACGGTCCTTTTCTTGCATACATAATTACAGAAAAGTCATTTTATCATTGACTTTCGGTTGTTTATATTTTTACTATGTAAGCAGGGCATTTGCTGTGGCTTTTGGAAGTTTACTAGATGGTGAAGTTCCTTTTGATTCTTGCATGGAGGTGAGTATCAAAAGTGCAATACATGTATAACATGTTCAATAACCCAAGTACAAACATCATTCGTATTTCATACTTAAAAAAAGCCAAGCATCATCAAAAGAAGCAAGAAAAAGTCCATCAAGGAACTGTTCTTGGTTTCATAAATATTTTTATTTTCATTCACAGTGAACAAAACTTGGCATCTTTCTTGAATATAATAATATTCAATGCTATGCAGAACGCACAATGTGGTGTCAAGGACAATGATAACAAAGAGACTGAGCATGATGCCGATAAGGCTGCATGGGAATCATACAAAAATATACCCGGTGTGTCACTACTTTGTGAAATTCCTGAAATTAGTTACATTATTTGACAATGTATGTTGGAAAATTTAGGTTTTGAAACATGTCTTTGTATGTAGTTGAATCATCGAACAAGGGAGTGAACTCAATTACAAATGAGAATAAAGATACAGTACAAAGTCCTTTAAGAAAAGCCCTCTCCCCCATCAACATCAATGCCAAGCAAAAACCCCTTGAGGCATTGTCTTTCACACAAACACCTTTTAAGGCAACCTGCTCCACTAATAAAGGGATACAAAAGAATGGCACTCCACTTGACAAATTCAGCACACGAGGTTCTACGCTGAAGGTAAAGCTAATTGTCTAACTCCACTAATAAATGGACTTTTTGAACCACCATACTCATCACCAATTTTTTAATATGCAGAACTGTCTAGTTCAAGAATACGTTGATTTCTTGAATAATGCAAGCAGGTAATCCAAACAACCCTCCTTTGTTTTGTATCTTGCTATTTTCTAAAGCATATATAGTCTGTGAACCTTCTATTAAGGTGTCTTAATAATGAGTTCAACTCTTAAATGCAGAGAGGAACTACTCGAGTTAAAGGTACATGCTGGCCTGTCACAAAAATGCCCCATATGAAGAGCTATTTCTTTATCTGACCCTTTTTCATTTATTGAATACTCCTTTTATTTTTCTCCATTTTGTAATTGTTGGGATTCAATTCCTTCAGGGCATAGGAGAGAAAATGGCAGAATACATAATAGACCTTAGAGAAGAAAGTCCACTAAAATCGGTTAGTATAAAAGAATATTTACAAGACAGGTACTGAATTAAGTAAGCATAATGCTTTTAGTGATGCTTTGGTTTTGGCATTTTGTAGTTAAATGATTTGGAGAAGATTGGCCTCTCTTCCAAGCAGGTATTACATTATAGAAGCATGCTATATTAGTTGAAAATTTGCTTCGAAAAAGTGTCGACAAAATTCTAACTTTTACCACTTTTTGCAGGCCCATAATCTGTTCACTAAAGCTGCAAAAAAACTATTCGAAGATAAAGCTGAAGATTCAATACTCAATTGAAATCCATTCTCAGGATTTTTCGGCTAAGATCATGTGTAACTTTTATTCTTTTCAATTTAGTATATCATTGTACCATTGCCGCAGCTAGCAACCTATGTAGCTTGCTTTGTGTTATTGTTGTAACCTAATCATAAAATATTTTACTCATTGAAAAAGTGTGATCCTTGTAACATGGTATCAATTACTCTTTTCTTGCCTACAGTCAGCATTGTTTATGATTTATATTCAATTGAATGAGCTCCACGTCTACTAGTACTACCACTTTGTCTTCCACCGAATTGAAGTAAAAAATGACAACATAACAGAAGCGCCAATCTCTAATGCTTTTGGTTGGGAGGTACACATGAATGATGAATCATTCTCATGGTTCAGTTGAAAACAATCAATATTTTTTTGTTGAGATGAAAAGAAAAAAAAAACTTGCATCAATATGGAAAATAACTATTTTTGTTTTTTAATTATTGGGTAGGGTTTACAGCAAGGGATCAAACGATGTCATTTTGAGTCTAAATAAATAGATTGACCTATTTTAATTCACTACAATTAAAAAAAATTAAATGTTTATGTTTATATAGTTGTCATTTGAAATTTTAATTAATTCTTTTCATTTGTATTTGAATCAATAATAGACTTAATTTAGTGATAGAAAATATTATAGTTCTTTATTTTATTCATTAAAAATAGGAATATGTAATTAATTTTTTATTTTTTATATTAAAAAATTTAGTGAGTCGACCTACTTAATCCAATATCCCATTGTGGGTCAAGTTGGGTTGAGATTTTTTTGACTCACCAAAAAGTGAGTTGGGTTGGGTTGGTCTATCTAAAAAAATAACCCGAAATGATTCAACCCATTTAAGTTGGGTTGGTTCACTTTAACACCTCTAAACCAAAGTGTTTTTTATCATGTGTTTAGTCTATTTTTCTTACTAGGATATTCATTGATTTAATGCACATAGCTAAATCAACATAGGTACTACTAGGTTGGCCTAGTACTGGGAGTTGAGATAATATGTACATAATCCTAAGTTTGAATTTCATTGTTACCATTGTAAATTCAATGAATAAAAAAAATAACATAGGTGAGATCTTATTTATTTTGCAAACAAGTTAAGTAATAACTAAAAATTTAATTAATAAACTAATTTTGGCAAAAAAAAAATATTAAACTAACTTGTTGAATTAGAAGGATTTAGTAAAATTAATCGTTAAATTTAGTGATAAATGTAGAGATACTTATTCCAAGAGTAGAGATACTTTACTCAATAACTCATAATATAAATTCAAAGCATTAAATTAAGAGTTTTTACTCAATAACTCATAATTTATATTAAATTTCAACAATTTAATCATTAAATTAAGAGTTTTTTACTCAATAACTCATAATTTATATTAAATTTCAACAATTTAATCATTACATTAAGAGTTTTTAGTGAATACACCAAGTCTACAACTTTTTGCAAAATTTGAAAAATATTAGATACTTCATTACATTAATTCAAATTGATGTTTATTCATAAAAATATATTATACATTAATTTGAATCTATATAATGACTATAAATAGTTTTCAATTTTCGTTAAAATTTGTAGTTATACTTAATCTAGTTATTAAGAATTTTTAATTTAACGATTGAATTGTTAAAATTTAATAAAAATTATGAATTATTAAGTGGAGTAATTTTACTAAGTTACTTTTGGAGTAAGTGTCTCTCTGTCTTTCTCTCTCTATATGTGTACGTGTGATTTACTTTGTTGATAAAAAAACTTGGGTACCTTTATTTTTAGGATGTTTGTTAACTTTTTAACTGATCATTGTTTGCTTAAAGATAATATATTCTATTAAGAAGTTAAAATAATTTGAGTAAGTAATATAATGATTAAAATAAATAGTATAATATTAAAGAATAAATTTTATTAAAGTAAATAGTGCAACATATAATAAGAGTTGTTAAACTATGATGAAAATGAAAAATAATCAAAGGGTACAAATTTAAAAGAAAAATTTTATAAACCGATAAGATAAAAATCATTTATCAAAAGTCAAATAAATTTTAAAAGAGCTTAAATGTTTTTGTTGCATCAAATTTAGAATAAATTTATTCTTAATGCATCAAATTTAGAATAAATTTATTTTTAATATCTCAAATTTAAAACTATTTTTTTAATTCATGAAAATTTCTAAAATCTTGTAGTCCCTCAAAACACTAATAACACATTTAAAAGTGACAAATTGAGATAGTTATACAATATCAGTTGAATATCAGTTGATTTTAATGTAATATTTTCACGAACATAGATATTGGTAAGTAGATTTTGTATAACAATATTTAACAAATCCTCTAAAATATTGAGTATAAGGATCAAAACATTTTTTTAAAAAAATTGTAGGAACAAAAAAAGATCAATTTTAAATTTTAAAAACTAAAAATAAATTTATCTTAAATTTAAAAGACTAAAAATATATTTAAATCATTAAAAAATTAGTCAAATAAAAAAAAAGTTAACTAACAAGATTTGTGAAATATACTCATATTTTTCTAATAGTGGCACCTTTACTTTGTTGGGTACTAGAGGGAAAAGAAAACTTCAATAGCGGAAGCACACACGAGAGAAACAAAAATAGATAAACAAACTCAGAAATTAACGTGGTTTGACACTTCTTGCCTACATCCACAAACACACTCAACAAATTAATTTTATTACTCCACTTGCAATTTTTACAAGGATAAAATTGCAAACCCTCTCACACAATTTTTGCACGAAAAAATTGCAAACCCTCTCTTGACACACAACTACCCAAGTCCCCAATACACCCAAGAACTAGAGTTGTTGTGGTGAGTAGACCCGAACTATCACCCTTTATTTATAGTAGTAGTCTACCACTTCCCTTCTTCAAAACTACCTGATGTGAGACTTTGGAGGATACCCATACACATTGGGCACAACATATCCTCCCTTCATCCAAAGTCTCACATTAATCTATCATCATTCACAAATTTTCTGGCAAAACTTGGAACCTTTTCTTCACAAGTTTTATGGGTGAAACTTGGAAACCCCTTCCTCACAAGTTTTCTGGTGAAACTTGGAAACTCATTCCTCACAAGTTTTCTAGTGAAACTTGGAAACCCCTTCTCACAAGTTTTTCTTCTCACAAGTTTTTCTAGCGAAACTTGAAAACCATCTTCCTCACAAGTTTTTCTGACGAAACTTGAAAACCTCTTCTCATGAGGGCGGGACATCTTTTCCTCCCTGGTACACTGCTTCTCTTCCTCCCTTGGTCAAAACCTCAATTCTTTTCTGATGTAGAAGATCAGACAATGATGCAACCATAGAGCATACTAAGAATTAAGAGTCCCACAGAACCCCACCACACCAACAAGCTCTGATACCACTTGTTGGGTAAGAGAGGGAAAAGAAAACTTCAATAGCAGAAGCACACACATGAGAGAAACAAAAATAGAGAAACAAACTCAGAAATTAACGTGGTTTGGCACTTCTTGCCTACATCCACAAACACACTCAACAAATTAATTTTATTACTCCACTTGCAATTTTTACAAGAATAAAATTACAAACCCTCTCACATAATTTTTGCACGGAAAAATTGCAAACCCTCTCTTGACACACAACTACTCAAGTCCCCAATACACCCAAGAACTATAGTTGTTGTGGTGAGTAGACCCAAACTATCACCCCTTATTTATAGTAGTAGTCTACCACTTCCATTCTTCAAAACTACCCGATGTGGGACTTTGGAGGATACCCATGCACATTGGGCACAAAATACTTTATCTAATGCGCTCAATTTTTTATCCTATCTTATTTTACAAGTCAAAAGATCATAGATTATGATAATAGTCATATAAAAACAGTGTAGGTAGTACACTAGAAATTACTTTTTATTTGTTTTTCCTCAATATCTCCCTTTTTCTCTCAGTACATGCACAGAATTCAGATTCTCTAACTTTGAAAAATAAAAGTTATGGTAACTTAGAGTAACTCCAATAGGAGTTGCTTGTCCCATGAAGCAACTCAAGCCCCGATTTCTTGTCATTGGAGGACTCTGACGTGACAACATGAGTTGTTTAAAGAAGAGAGAGAGTTGCTTCCTCAAGCAACCATTCCTTACCAGATTTCAAGTAGATCTTATTGAATATATTTGGAAACGTTTAGGAAATAATAATGATGAAAATTAATTTCGTATAATGTTTATGTATTTACTATTGCTTTATTTTATTTTTAATATATACTTATTGTGTATTTTTTCTCGTAATTTATTTTCTTTCATTTTAGTGCAATTATCCTTTTTAATAAAAATTTAAATCTGGTTCATTAATGATTAGAAAAAAAAATTCTAAAAGTTGAATTTCTTAAAGTTTCTTACCATTGGAATAAATTTGTATTTGAGTTGCTTAATGCTGACATAGCACACTAAGGACCACTTTTTTCATTTTTCAATGCATGAAGCAACTCAAATGAGTTGCTTCCATTAGAGATGCCCTTAATGCATTTAAACCGTTAGATTTATAAAAATAAATTAGATTATGACACATGGACAATATATATTTTGACTTAAATGTACACGTGTCATAATCTGATATATTATTATAAATCCAGCAGTCTAAGTACATTAAGTTACCATAACTTTCCCTCCTTAAAGTCAAAGGATCCATTTTCGCACAGGTGTAGTGCGTACAAAAGCCTGCAGTGTTGTCTAGTTAATGTTAACAACTATTTACCCACTTTCTTTTTGGTTAGTTATCAAATATACAAAATCCCCAATGAATTAATAACTGAATTCTATTTCAATTTTTCTTAACTCAAAGGAAAGATAATCAATTTGTATAAATGAATTTCGAGGTTTTATTCAATCTATAAAGAGACAATTCTAATTTTGACGATGACATACATCTCATCTTATCTTATAATATCTATCTAACTTTATTTATAACAATTCTATTGAAATTTTATTTTTATATGATAGATAAGGATATTTAGTTAACTTTTTTTTATATGAAATCTTATTTATAATGAGTGATAAAATAATATAAGTATTATTAATAATTTAGGTTAAGAATGCCTAATTTTATAACGAGTGATAAAATATACAAAATATTATTGATAATTTAGGTTGAGAATGCCTAATTTTGTATTTAATAGGATAAAGCTTCTTTGTTTTATACCCCAAATCCAATTCTACCATACGACTCTA